TCGTGAACTCGGCAACCAGGTTACCGGGTTTTTTTTTACCTCCGGTTTATTTTTTTGGCGGTAACCATAATGGTGGTCGAGTAGATCATGTTGTGCGGGGTGGAGAACCCTCACTCCGCGCAAGGGGGATGATCGCACCACGTTGTGTTAAAATGGTCAAGCACCCTCGAGGCAGTTACACAGTGCTTACAACTGTCTCTGGAAGTGAAAGCACCAGAAAATAAATTAAGTCATACGCAGCTGTCATCCGTACGCAAGGAAGTAAGCACAAGATGCCGAAAACCCTTAGCAGGATGCAGCGCACCCTTCATGCGACTCGCCGAATATCTCACGGCGCTTCGCGCTTGGTGATGTGAGAGCCTGGTCCGGTGAGAACCCGGCGTGCTCCGTCCCGGCTTTGTAGGGATGCGAGGTCAATGGTCTAACGACTACGGCATGCACGACTATGAGTACGCCCCGCCCCGTTGGCCTCTCGATACTCCGTACCCTCAAGGACGCGTGGCCAATGATCATACAACACAGGCATCAAAATCACGAGTGCCCCCGCTTCTCACCGTAGGTTGTCCAGGTCCTGTAGTGCAGCGAAGGCCTGCACGTTCCACGGCTCGGGCGTGTCGAGCCTCTGGGTCAGGATGTCCCTCGTGGGGAGTCGGTCAAAGGCCGCCACGGAACCGGACGCCGGTCCCAGAACCAGACGGTAGAAGTTCTTGAGGGGAAGCTCCGACACCTGGACGTACGAAGAATGCATACGTGTTTCTCATTTTTTACAGAACCAGGGCATGTTCGTGTTGAACAGGGAGGGATTTGGCGCCAGCTATCAAACAAAGCGTACAAATAAGGGTGTAAAGTGGGCGCTGCTGCTAACAATGTAGGCAGCCTTTGTCGCCTCCTGCGATGGAGTGAATCAACACGAATGTTCTTGCAGCCAACAAGAGAGGAGGCCTTGCGAGGTGCCGTGAGCGGAGAATGCGACAAAAAACAAGTGACAATATATCAACAGGTGCCAAGTCTTGAGGTTTGAGAGGTGGGTCTGACTAATGCTGAGAGCGGTCACCGAACGTGTGAAAGTCTCCAAAGCTTCCACCAAGAAACGCTCAACTCGAAACACGCAAATTTGATATAATCTAGCCGTGAGCCCACAAAGGAGGAGGGGGCTTCAGCCATGACTCGAGCAGGCCGGTGCTCAATAGGGTTGCTAGTAAACGACACATCAAAGTCAACCAATGCGGAAACCACGACAATTATTTTTCGACTCGTGGGAGCGTTCGTAGTTGGTCGAACCACCTTGCTAACTCACATCCAGGGAGGGCAACAGCAGCAACGTCACCGGCAGCCCCAAAACCTCTTGAGCCTGAGATGCAATCACACGCGACGGCAACGGACGCATGCACGCACCCAGCAGCAAAACAAACCGCGTGAGTGGCACAACATTCCACCAGGTGTACAAAAAAAAACGCAACACCATGACAGCGCCTGGCATCATTCATTCCTCATCTATCTAGGCAAGAGCTGCACATGACTGACCACAACGGCGGTCAGGGCAGACGAGATGGGGGAAAAAGAAACGGGTGAATCGCATCCTTAGCGCCGGCGAAGAGACAGATGGAGACCAGTGGGGCAGTGAGAGGCAAGAAGGTCGTGGGGGGACGGGCATGTAGCTTACGAACCAATAACCCAATAGCTTCATGCAAACAAACGTGGAACGTAGACAAAAGCAGTTTTTCGTGGCAACATACAATCGGCTGCATGCCATCATACACACGGCCTGATTTCTCACTGCAAAAGCATACCCACGGCTGCTAGGTACCTGCCACCAACCGAAACAGCTCAACCCATGAACCATTCAAGCCAAAACCCCACACGAGGTCAACACAACCCCGTTTACCAGTGATAGCAGCGTGGAGGCCCTCTGCGCCGCCAAGGACAGAGGGTCAAGCACGGCCACGAGCTCCACAGCAACCTGCCCCATCCCCAACTCCTCCTCTCCTTCGTCCTCCTCGACAACACCCTCCCCTTCGGCCCCCTCCGCCTCCGCTGCCGCCTGGCCGTCTCCTGCGCCGTTTGCACCACCTCCTGCAACATCTCCTGCAACATCGCCACCTGCAGCATCACCGCCTGCAGCATCGCCTGCAGCATCGCCCGCAGCATCGCCCGCAGCATCGCCGGCAGCATCGCCTACAGCATAGCTTGGAGCGGCATCGCCTACAGCATCGCCGGTAGCTGTATCGCCGGCAGCAGCATCACCTGCGCCGTCCGCGTCCCCGTCTTGCTCCACGGCAGCAGCAGCAGCCCCGCCAACGCTACCCCGGTGGAGGTGGCCGTCGGGCCCGAGGCGAAGGACAGAAACTACGCCATCACCGCTGACACCACCACCTCCGGCCGCGGCGTTCTTTTTCTTCTTTTTCCTCTTCTTCTTGTTGGTGTCGCCCCTACCGCCGCCGCGCGCTGCGGCGACTTCGGCGACGGTCTCGACAAGAATTTCCGCCAGAGCGACGGCGTCTGGGATCATCTGGCGACGCTCCTGTGGCCAAGGTGTAGGGAGGTGGGGGGTTCTCATGTTACCGCATGCCGTGTAGTCCATTGACCTCGCATTCCTGCAACGCCGGGACGGAGCGATCTCCGCCGGCCCAGGCTACTACCTGGTGCGTTTCACAAGGATGAACCAGAGGCTGGTTATCACCCTTGCGATTGCTGTGCCAATCCAGACATGCCATGGGGCTACTGGGCACCCCGGCTAACCTGACGTTTAACGCTTGGCAGGCACAACTATACTTGCAAGTACCGCAAGGGATTTCGATGGTTGTGCTCTGGTACACGAAGCAGACGCGCCACTCACAGCGAACAAGTCGCTTCGTGTGTAAAACATAGCTTGAAGAACAACCTGCTGATTCACTTCAGTTAACGTAATCACTTAATGTAATCAGTTCCCGTGCGTCAGGTTTCCTGGCAAACGAGGAAAATATTTTACACGGAGTACCCAACAACATCATTGGGAGCCAAAACGAAGCCAACGTCGTTTTCACTCGCCTGGTGGAACCGCAACAGGAAAGAAGCGAGCTGCGAGATCACGGTCGACTGAAGCTCGGCCCCAACTGACCAGAGTCGCCCCGAGCGACGTTGAGACGTTGAGGGGCGAGGTAGAGTGTAAGCAGCAGGCGGGGGACGGGCGGGGGGGGGGGGGGGG